ATATTATTTACACCACTATTGTACCTGTATATCTTGCAGGCAGATGGCTGTTGCAGGTTGCAGGGTTTGTAGTGGAGAATTGTCTGTGATTTTTCCAGGTTTGTAGAGTACCTTCCAGAACCATGAATATTAGTCACTAGGGGTGAAGCTTCTAGTTAGGCACCAGCTCAACTTCTCTGTGTTCAGGGATGTGTTTTCATAAATTATAGAGAGCACCATCAAATTATAGAGAGCAACCAATACCCTGAGATGTTTGGGGGTGTCTTAGTTACTGTTCTATTGCTGTGAGGAAAGACCATGACCAAAGCAACTTCTAAAAGGAAGCACTTAATTAGGGCCTTGCTTCTAGTTTCAGAGGGTCAGTCTATGATCCTCTGGTAGAGAGTGTAGCAGCAGGCAGACAGGCAGGCATGGCACTGGGCAGTAGCTAAGAGCTCACATCTGATCTACAAGTTGCTGGCAGAGTGAGAGTGAGCCTGGGCCTGGCATGACTTTTGAAAATTCCAAGTCCACCTACAATGACATACCTCCTCCAGTAAGGCCATACTTTCTCTAACAGGGCCATACTTCCTAATCCTTCCCAAATGGGAAGTTACACTAAGCATTCAAATATGTGAGTCTATGGGGGCCATTGTGATTCAAACCACCACAAGGGCTTTTTAATGGGTCACTTTGGCCAATGTCTCAACAAGATACCTATTCCTGGCACTGGAAGTTTTACTTGGTGCCATAAGATGTCTATTTTTTCGTTTTTCAAATGGCCTTTAGTGTTACTTGTCCCTCCCCGTAATCCCTCTTTTACAATTTCTTTCCCATCCCCCTACCATAACAGTATATTCTACTTACCCTTCCTTGGGAGAGCCTTTTCTTCCCCCTAATCCCTTGCTAGGTACCTAACTTCTGTGACTATTCAGATTGTAGCACACATATCAAAAGCTTAAAAGCTAACATCCATGTATAAGAGAAAACATACAATATTTGTCCTTTTTGGGTCTAAGTTACCTCACTAAGGATGATTTTTTCCTAGCTCCATACACTCGTAAAACTTTCATGATGTTGTTTTTTCTTTTTTAAAAATATGATTAGATTTTTAAAAATTCTGCTATGTGTAAATGTGCGACATTTTCATTACCCGTTCAACAGTTGATGACTGGGCTGTTTCCAATTTCTGGCTCTCATGAATAGAGCAGCAATGCACACGGTTGAGCAAGTGTCTCTGTAGTAGGATAGAGAGTCCTTTGTGAACATTCTGTAGCTCTATTTCCAGCTCCCTGAGGAACTACCACACTGACTTCCATGGTGGCCACACACGTTCACCCTATCACCAACAATGAATAAGTATTCTCCTCATCCCAAATCCTCACCAGTACATGCTATCATTTGTTTTATTGATTTGGTCATTCTGACTGGTACAGATAAAATCTCAAAGTCATTTTAATTTTCTTTTCCCTGGTGGGTAAGAATTTTGAATATTTCTTTAAGTGTTTCCCAGCCATTTGTGTATCGTCTTTTATAACTCTGCTTAGTTCTGTACCATTCTTTGATTTGGTTATTTTCTTGATGTTCAGAATTTTTAGTTCTTTTTATATTTTATATATTTTAGAAATAAATCCTCTACTAGATAAATAGTCTTTCCCCATTCTGTAGGCTGACACTTTGCCTGACTGACAGTGTCCTTTTCCATAAAAAGGTTTTACAGTTTCATGAGGTCCCATTTATTAATTGTTGTGTCTGTGTTATTGGTGTCCTGTTCAGAGACCCCTTTCCTGTGCCAATGAGTTCAAGACTATCAGATTCTCACTTCTATCAGATTCAGTATATCTAGTCTTATGTTAAAGTCTTGATCCATCTGGAGTTATGTGTGGGTGATAAATACGTGGTGATAAATACTTTAATTCAGGGTTGGGGAGGTGGCTTCATGGGCAAAACATTTCCTATAATAATTATGAGGACCTGAGTTGGATCTCCAGCTCCCACACAAAAGCCAGGTACAGTGGTGTGTGCTAGTAAGCCTTCTGGGAAAGCAGAAGCAGATTCTGGAGGCTCGTTGGTCAGCCAGTCTGGATGAGGCAGAAAAGTCCAGGTTCAATAAAAGACTCTTTCTCAAAAAGTTAGTAAAGAATGGTAGATGGAGACACTAAAATCAAACCTCTGGCCTACATAGATATGCACATTCAAATACACTCACATACCCACATACATACATACATACATACATACATACATACATACATTTCACACACACACACACACACACACACACACACACACACACACGCAAAATAAGAAATAGTTAAAGTCAAAGGATGAGAAAACCTGGAGAGGAATTTCATTAACAAAATGGGTTGGTGTGGGGAGCATAAAAGGAATAATGGTAGAGGCCAAAGGAACCTCTTCAGTGAGCATCTTTGAGGGCACCATTCCCAGAAAATCTTCCAGAGGCATCTGAGCTCAATCCCCAGAAGAAAGGAAATGTCTGACTTTGTATAACCTTTTAAGGGTAGCAGAAGTTTCACACCAAGTGATTTGGTTTAGCATAGTGTATGTGATAAAAAGAGTGGAGAAGCCAGGTACTGACTGGTTAGGACCATGACTCCTAAGGAGTTGCTATTAGGCCATAGTACAGATTGTGTGTTAACTCTGTGTCCCTGAGAGCGCTGCAGGGAGACACGGTCTGATTCCGGCAATAGGATCTGGCTGAAAGATGCAGGCCTGTGCTCTTACCAAAGATAAGGTCGGTCATATAATTCAGTGGCAAAATACTTGCCGAGCATGTAGAGTTCTAGGTTTTACTCCCAGCAGGAAGGAATGGAGCTCTAGGTTGGCCATTTGTGGTTGCACTTATTTCTGACTTTTAAGTTCTGTTGTATGTGATCTATTGGCCTGTACGTTTTGTTTTCTAGTAGGCACTCTGTTTTTCACTATATACTCAAGTCACAAAAGCAGTGCATATAAACCCCCTATATTAATACTTTTCTATTGATATGATAAGACATCATGAACAAGACAACTTACAGAAGGAAGGGTTTATTTGGAGCTACAGTTGCAGAGGGATACAAGTCCACAACAATTACAGCAGGGATGGATGGCAGCAGTCAAGCAGGCAAGCATGGTGGCTGCTTTCATGGAGCTGGAAGCTTTCATCTTGACATATAAACAGCAAGCCCACTGTGCAAACTGGAAATGTGACATAGCTCTTGAAACCTCAAAGTCCACCCCCAATGACATACTTCCTCCAGCAAGGCCACACCTTCTAAACCTACCCAAACAGGGCCACCACCTATGAACCAAGTATTCAAATATCTTAGCCTATTGGGTCATTCTCATTCAAACCACCATACCCTTCAACATTTCTCTTTTTTCAGTTATGTCTTGGCTATTCTGAGCCCTCTGCATAATATATTTTAGGATCAGTTTATCAATTTCTGCAGGATAAATTGCTGGGATTAAATTAAATGATCATTTGACTACATGTGCTGGTCCCAGCTTTTCTAGGTTTGAGATTAAACAGTCTCTCAAACAGTAAGCAACATAGCAAGTCTCTCTCTCTCTCTCTCTCTCTCTCTCTCTCTCTCTCT